CAGAGAACAAGGGGGTAGGAGTTGCGCCCGCTGCTGCCACCCCTCCAGCATGGAGTAACCCACTCAGGGGCATGGACAGGGAAGAAGCCTGGGGATGGCAACATTTAGTAGTGCCTGGGGAGAAGTGAACCCCAGTGCCATCTGCAGCCTCCTGGGCACCTCAGGCAGGACATCTGAGCCAACAAGTTCACAAACAACTGCTGCAAGTGACAGGAAGTTCTTGGGAGTTGGGAGTACATCCCAACTGCTGTCCCACCCACAACCAGCAAAGCAGAGGGAAGGCAGAAGCAGCAACAGTCAGAGAAACCCTTACAGCTTCAGGGTTCCTGCATCTTTGCTGCCAGCTAATTTTGACTTCATCCAACTCAATCTCTGCTACTTCAGCTCTACATCCTTCAGTGACTATTAGTGAAAGCACCACTAGTCAGCTTTAAAAAAAAAAAAAAAAATCACATTTTCTCCTCCTTTTCTCATCTTTCTGCACCTGCTGGAGTGCATGTATGGCAGCAAGTCTCTGCCCCTTTCCCTACAGTCTTCCTCCCTCCCAGCACATTGCACAGTGTCAGATTAAAACTACATGCCACCTAACTCCAAACAGCCTGTAAAGCCTTTAGTAGCTTTAGCAGAAAGCAGCCATACTGTCTCTGGCCGTAAGGGGGAGATAAGCTATTGCTTCATTTGTCAGCTCTACTTTAGAAATGCCAGCAGAACTTGGGTAACGATCCCAAGCCTTTGCCGTCTCCCACGTGAATCTGTTCAGGAGGCATGAAGTTGATTCTCAGCCTACCCCTTCTTAAATCCCAAGCGTGTTTTAGGACCCAAAGGAAGAAAAATAAGCAATTTTGTTTCTCATCAGATTTAACGTGGGAAATAAGAAGTAATGCTGCGTGGGAAGAAGTAGGAATGGAATAGCTCAAGTGGTCAGGGACCAAAATACACAAAATTGTTCACACCTTGACCTTGTTAGTTTTAAAACCTTCCCAGTTTTGGTCTGACAAGAGATTAAAGGTAAAAACATTACATGCCCATGTCCAGATACTGGAGCCATAAGATTATGTCTTGGGAGTTTTAAGTAAGTTTCTAGCTCTCAATGTTGTAAAGAATGCTTTGGAAACAGGACCGGCATAACCAATATATAGTGACAAATCACTTGAGAGTAAGACAAGCCAAAACTATGAATGAGAGGATTAGCTGCCCCATGCACGGGTGAGGAATTGGCACCAACACTACAGATGTTGGTCTGCCAGGTCTACACCACCCCAGCAGACAACTGTAGGAAAAGAGAATACCACAGGTTCAGGCCACCCATTAAGGCAATACTTGATGCTGGAAAGTTAGTACTGCCATTCCCTATAACTACTGCACGAATCGGACCCTTTCTGCATCCTATGAGAAAGTAGGGCTCCTGCCACTATCTTGGTGGGAGAAAGCACAGAGCTCCTATATCACTGCACCTGTCTTTGGAAGGCAAAAGGGACTCTACCATTCCAAGTCCACTCCGAGGATCACACGGTGGAGTTGCAAGTGCCCCAAGATGTGGTTTGCTGAGGGAGTTCAATAGCCTGCCAAGTCTATCTGTGGCACTCTGAGAGTCCCCATTAGTGCAGTATTGAGACCTATGGAAAAAATATTTGGTCTTAGTATCCCCAGGACTGTGCCAAAATACTGCATCGTAACACAGAAATCTGAAGGGGCATTTCATGGGTATTCACAAAGAGCCGCAGGGCTGCTCTTAAGTACTTTTTCACCAATAGATCTCATGCAAGTGGATCCCATAGGAGAAACTTGTACTGTGGCTGGTATGTGCAGCCTCTGTGGATGTCAGTCCAGCATCTTTCACCAGTGCAGCATTAGCCACATTACTGTTATTGTTGGGGGGTGGGGGATTTGGTTCATCCTTTGTTTTCTGTTAAGCAGAAAGCTGCATCAGTGCAAACTACTGATAAGCCAGAGAGAGGTCAGAGGGGTTCACGTGGGCCCCTTGTCAGGACTACTAAAAGAGCATCTCAGCTTGCATTTTCAGTTCTTTCCTTCACAGAGAAATGCTTGAAAGCATCACCTGCTGTAAGCACCAATCCCAGCAGCTAGAAAGACACCATAATGCTCCACATAGTGGGGGAGAAAGGTCACCTCCATTACTGAGGTGTTCACTGAGAATTTCAAGCTCAAGTCCTGCTTTTGCAGCAAGCCCAGCAAGGGCAGGGTCTGTGCAGGGCTGGGCTGTTATTGGATGGTAGCAAACTTCCAAAAATGCAAACAACTCATAAAGAAATCATAAAGTCACTATAAAAGAGTTTCATGTATCAGTGCAGTTTTTTCAGGGAGACAGAAGCCACATCTTTCACTGTTACAGCACACTTTTAAGAGCTCCCTGTTCTTCTGTTCAAGTGGAGCGGCTTTATTTTCCTGAGAAAGATCAGCTAAAAAAAACTAGCTGCAGTTCCCCAATACCCCCTGTGAGCTACCATCCCATCTCCCTGCCCATTTCCCTCTAGGCCTTCAGGGAGCAGCAACAACTCTCAGCATGCATGGGACAGAGCTATGGTGACTCTGGCCAAATCACCCTGAAGTGCCCCCTACCATCCTCAGCCTAACACAACAGAAAAAACAGAAAAGGCCATTTGTGCAGCCCAACTGACAACAGATCCAGAGTCCATTTTCTCTAGTTACAACTCATCTAAGCTCCCTCCTTCAAGCCTATGGTCCCTACAGGGTGACCCGTGACAGACAGCAATCACAGGCCCCCCAGGCCAAACAGTGTGAGTAAACATCCCGCTTCAAGCCTACCTTGCTTCCTAAGGCTCTGACAGGCAGCAACCTGACCTCACTCTTGATTCAGTAAAATCTCACCACCTAACATCTACTTCTTCTCCCATTTCACCATTAGTATAGTGGCTTTCTCCCATGTTAATTGACTCCAGGCCTGACAACAGGTGCAGCAGGTTCGTGTTGATAGGAACTTCACTGATCCCTTCTTTGCTAGTGTGAGGTCTGCACCGCCCATCCTCATAGCTTATTTTTGAGCAAAATCCTCAACACGTCCCAAGGGCTAGATGTGGAAATTAAAAATTCTGCTTTGAAAGCAGCATTTGATTTGAGTCCCAAGTGGCTCTCAGACAAGGCTTGATTTCAATACAGAAACTGCAGGGTCCTCACTGTGTTTTAACAACCTCTGTTCCACGAAAGGACGCGGCAAAGCAGAGCTGAGGGCACTGAACTGGAATCGTGTCAAGTCTCACGTACAGCTCCCTCTGGTCCCTAGCAGCTCAGACTGGGCTCATTCTACCTCTGCAACCCAGAGGTGACCAGATATCTCTTTTAGATGACCAAGACCCTTTAAAAAGGGCAGTTTAGAAGAGCAGGCAGAGGCAGGCCTAGACAGCTCAGACTCTGGTCTAGCTACACTAGTGTATAACCTAGTATAATGGAAAGCTGGATGTGTCCCAGCCTTCCCAGTCTTTGTGTAGCAGCCACCACCTGCGCTGACTGTCTCTTGGTAATGCTATTGCTATAAACCTGCCAGGTCTGGGGGGGGGGCTACAAGTTTGAATCAGCTGCCCTTCATCAAAAGCAAGTGAGCTTGGCACAGCTTAATCCCTGCCAGTTCACCCAGACAAGCCCAGAAATGCCTCCTTAAAAAAAGATCCTGTCTGAGAGAGAGATCCAGACCTCCAGGGCCCAGCTCACACATAGACGTTAGTTGTCCTTGAGCAGCAGTGACCTGGGAGGTGGGTTGCTCCACAACTGCACGCATGATGCAACCCACCTCTACCACCTCCCTCACCTCTCCCATCTTCCGTGACTGCAGACACGCATGAGCTACAGGAGAGCTTTTATTGGGGAGGTTTTTCATAGGCTGGATTTACGGGAAGTCCCACAACTGGCTGTCTTTGACAGCTGCTCACAGCCAGCTATTTCGGAGAGCAGGACTCCCAGGCACAAAATCCTAGCATTTCTCTTACGATTCCAGTGCCACAGAAACTCCTCCAGCATAGGGGACTGAAAACAGGTGAAAAAGCACTTAACAGAAAGGGCACAACTAAGGCCATTTGCTATAAAAAAAATCCTTTAAGCTCATTCATATCAGTGTTTCTGGAGCCTGCAGCCAAAGTCTTCCTCCAAATATTTTTTTCCTCACTGTTAAGCACACACATGCTGCTTTGCTATTGCAGGGCTGCTCGGGACTGCAGGCTCAGGCCTAGTCGTTTGAGCTGTTCATGAATTCTGCAGCTGAGCTGTCAAAGTGCAGCTTGCTGGGTGGTTCAGATTAATGCTGCTTTGAAAGCACAGCCTTTGCCTTGAGTCTCAGGGACTTTCAGGCCAGATTTGCTCAGTTTCCAAGTGAACCAGTGTCCTAGGCAGGTTAGCTGGTTTGTCCACCAGAAATAAAGTTTCCAAACCTGGTATTTCATCAACAGTGCTATTGAAGATGGAAAAATCAGAAGAGAATCCAGTGCCCTCCAAAGCGATGCTGCCCCATACAGCTAAAAGTACTAGAAAATTCTGTGTGCACGGAAAAGTAAGGAGACACAATCATGCATCTAATACAGGGAGTGAAGGAAAGCCATTTTTTACACAGCAGCTTCTCTGAGCATAGCTACACTGGGAAGAAATACTGCACGTACATCACAACTTACATTATCTACACACCCATATAGACTTAGCCAGATTTCCTGATGTTACCAATTTGCCGTACAACACAGAACACTCTTCTCTGAAAACAACTGCCCAGAAGAAAAGAGACTGATATCACTACCTCAAGACAGGTACAGGTAGGTGCTGTGCTAGACACACACACACACAGTTCTTTCAGTTAGCCCACAGCATCCCCTGCTATTCCAAACTTGATCCCCACACTTAAAAACTTCCAATGGTAGAGAAGCCACCAATCTCTAGGTAAACCCTTCCTGACCTTAAGCTCCCTTACAGCTAGAAATGTCTTCCTGACATCTAATCTAAATCACTCCAGCTTAAGCCCATTACTACTTGTCCCATCTCCTGTGGAAACAGATGTTAGTACGAACCCATTTTAGAATAGTCCTTGCCAACCCAAAGCAGGGAAATGTTTCTAGGCCATTATCACACATCACAGGGAGTGTGGGGGTTTCCTGGGTAGGGTGATCCCTAAAGAAACAAGTTTGACATAGAAAAGATCCAGAGACAGGGACAGGCCATCCTTTACTGTGAAACCTGTGGCCACAGGAGACCCCACAGCTAAAGGGCCCCCTGCACATAGGCAGCGGAAATGGGGGGCTAATGGGGCGCAGCCCCCCCCAAACAGAGCAGCAGCAGACATTGCCTTAGGGCAGCCCGGCCACAGGGTCCTACAGCAGGGGGGGAAGGGACGGGCACGCTGAGCTATCCTGCGTGCTCGCAGCCAGCCCAGCCGCAGGCAGGTAAGTTTCTTTTAATCTGTTTTTTTTTTATTTCCATAGGCTTGGGGGAGGACAGATCGAGACCCCCACAGTGCAGGAGACAGTGGGGTAGGGGAAGGTGAATCATTCACCCCTGCCCCTGGCCTGCTCCATCTACACTGTGAGGATTGTCCCACGACCCAGCCCGGCCCCCATTCACAGTGACTGAGACAATCGGAGACCAGCGGCTCCTCCAGAGGCATGGCACCGGGCAGCCAAGGGGGGGAGGGCATGTGGCCCCCTAATCTTTGCATGGGTGAGAGTGGGCCACAGCTGTGAGCTGGGCTCAGCCTTTGCTCTGTGTCTCCACGCCTCACTGCCGCCGCCGCCACTACAAAAGCAGCGGGCATTGCCATATGCATCGCTGCCCAGCCTGCCCAGTGGCGGGATGCACATGGCGGCATCTGCTGCTTTCAAAGTGACAGCGGCGAGGCATGGAGACATGGAGCAGAGGCTGAGCCCAGCTCACAGCTGCAGCCCACCCTAGCCCGTGCAAAGATCAGGGGGCCACGTGACCTCCCCTGCCCCAAGCTTGGTGGCCCAGTGGCATGCCTCTGGAGGAGCCACCAGGCTCTTCCTGGGGATGATGTGGGCTGGGGCAGCGTGGGTGCAGGGGTCCCGGGGGCTCCATCCCCTCCAGCCTGGGGGTTGGGGTTTTTTTTGTTGTTTTTTTTTAACTAAATATTATACATGCCTCAGGTTGCTTATCTGATATTATGATGTTGCTTTATTTGGCTGCACAGAGTTCAATCAATGAGCTTGTCAGAGAAACCAACAGGAATGAAACCAAGCAAATAAGATTCTGTCCCAGAAAAATGCCGTATTTTATTACTTACAACATGCTCCAGAATAAAATACAGACCTGGCTTTAGAAAGGCAGAATGAAGAAAAATAAAAGACCTTTCCTTGTAGTAAGTAAATGAGTAACAGCAGCTAGGGAGCCAAGCCTGCTCATTGTTCTGCTCCCTGTGGGTAGCATGCAGACCTTACTTTTGCTTTCACCCAGTTAGCAGCAGAAACTGTTCTGACCATATTTCCTCACATATAATCCTCACTCCAATTTCCAGAAGCTATTTTTTGAAAGAGGTATGCAAAGAAATATGGTACTAGCTTTCCTTAAGCAAACAACAGAGAAGCTGCTATTCCCTGCCAGCCTCCCAAACCTAAACCTCCAATCGAAGGAGACAGTAAAACCTTAGAGTCTGAGCAAGCCAGAACAGGGAAGAAAGAGTTGTCAGCTGGCTGAAGTTGATACACAGACACCTGGCAAGTATGTTACAAGCAAGGAGCTACCTGAGATAGAGATAAAAAGTGAAGTTTAAGTAAGAAAAAGTGTATATAAGACTCTGTGGTTTTGATCCATCTTCGTAAAAGCTGTCTGTGTTCTGACAGGTAAATACTCCTTTGTTCCAAAGATCTTAATGCCACTGCAAAGGGAATCGCTAGCAGGGCCAAATCCCAGTAGCCTCCCCTATGGTAATATTGTTAGCAACTTGGGTAACCCAAAGCCTCTACTGGAGAATGGCCTGATTGTAGGATCCCACCCAAGAGAAGAGAGGGCAGGAGCCTACCACTTGATAAGGGCATATGTGGAGAATAGCAAAAAGTCTCAGAACACAGGCTAGCTGAGGACTCCAATCCTACCCCAGAGTGACAGGAATTAAAAGTCATTCCTATTGGGTGGCAGTTTAATGATGTGCCTAAAACAATTTGTTGATCTCGGTCCATTTTCTAGTGGACAGGTTACAGAAAAGACCTTCCCCATTAGCATTAACTGCAACTCTTCTTTGAATCCTCAGCACAGCGCCTGAGAGCTGAATGGGCCATAACAATCACCCTTGACTATGGTCCTTCCAGGTCAAGTATGAGACACATTGGCAGGGGGGCTGAATGAGGGGATGCTTGCACTGCATGTAGTGTAGTAATAACTTATGTGCAATTAAGTACAACACATCAGTCTTCCCTGCTATCAGTTCACCACCTTTCACCAGCTCTGGATTCACCTTGCAAAAAACAAGTATTAGTAACACAGCTGACATTTACCACATTGTCATTATCAATTATATGAATTATAGTATGAATATAAAAATAAGAGCCAACCTAAGTAGCCATAAAGTTTCACAAGGCCTTAAAAGTTCTAGGAATTTTATTAGGTGAAAGAGCAATTCTGCAGTAAAAATAGCATTAGGTTTTCCTGTTAAACCTCTTTTTTCCACTTTGTTTTAAAGCATTCAAAGCCTTAAGGAATTCAGCCTGCAATGTGCTTCTTGTTGGGAAAAAGATAATACGTTTGTCAAATTGTATGTGCTGATTCTATGAAACAAAGGAGTCTCCCAACCAGTGAAATCATCTCACTTGGAGCAGATGGTATGAAGTACAGCACCAGAACCAAATCCAGCTTAAGGAGACTTCAAACAATCAAGAGACAAATCATAATAGCTCAGTGCTTGGCAACAATTTCACCTTTCACAGATGTTAGAGGAGAAGCTATTTTTGGAAGAAGGGTCAGATTTTTTCATATTCTTGGTTCAGGATCAATCCTCTCAAGTGGAATTCCTGCCAGCTGCTAAATATATGTAGATTTACTCTCTTCACTATCCACACTTAGCCATTTAACAGGCTTTCATTTCAGACTCTGGCACCAGGTGAGATGAAAGTCCTACAAATTTGTTTTCTCCTCCTGGACGCAGCAGGACATGCATTTTTAAGCTACCCTCCCAGCCCCATGTGAACAAATCCTCATGACAAAGAGGAATGCCAGCTATTTTCCAAAAATACGAAATCCCTCTCCCTGTCTTCCCTACTGTTGAAAGAAACTCAGCCATCCCCAACTCCACATTCTTTCTCTCCATCTGACTTCCCAATCCCTGCTCTTTAGCCTGCAGTGGGCATGCCTACATATTCATTAATGTGCCATAATCAGCACTACTGCACAGTAGCAGTGGCACATGCTTTTTTGTGATGCTAATGTGCAGTAGACTGATTAGTCTCCTAGAATTAACCTACTGCGCATTTAGCATCTTGTGTAGAAGTGCCCAAACAGTAGCAAAAATTGCTTTTGTAAGTGCAGCCTCAGGTGGCTGATTCTCTTTCTCTACCATCATGGCCTGGACCTTGCGGAGCAGGCACAGTTAAAAGCTCAGCTCCCCCTGAGCATCTGCTGAGTGTACGGAGTATGTCAGTGCAGGAACATGTTAGCTCCATGTGGCAGGGAGCACTTGATCCATCGTAATATTGAGTTACATCACGAGGACCTGAACTATGCGACCCAGAATATTTGACCTAATGTCAAGAGGGGCCTAGGCCTATTGAGATATTTCACTGAGACACCCTGGCCTCCTTCCACTAGCGGAATCTGATCCAGCAACAGAAAAGTGTGAGAATTTTCAGCTGTCCCCATCCCATGTGAAACAGTCAGGGTAAGGACTTACTCTGCACTGTGTATGTAGTAAAGGGGGCATCTTCAAAGCTTTCTCTCCTTTTTTTTTTTCTTCCAAAGAGTCAGCTCTCCCACATTTCCACTCACTGACTGAGGTAAGCTGCATTTTTGCAAACCATGCCAATATATAT